GCCGCCGCCGCCGCTGCTGCTGCTCCCACTGGCTGTGGCCGCGAGAGAGCGCCATCACTATCCTGCCTTCGCCTGTCACGCTCGACGGGAGGGGCGTCCGCAAACTCTGTTTCCCCCTCCTCACGCCTCCTAGCTGTAGCTGAACAACCCCCTCCCCCCTTCCCCCCTCCACGACGTCTGCTACACTACTTGTCTTGCTGCCATGACCCGCATTGTAAACACTGTCAATACTGCCAGAACTGCCGTGCTTAACCCCACCACAGCGCCCCCGTCCACTGTTTGTCCGAGCCGGGCGCTTGTGGTGATACCTTCGGCCCTGTTTCCGTCTGCCATCGCGATCCCTCCTACCCCGGCATCGATCTCAGCCAAGCTTCGGTGCCAAGCTGGGCCGCAAGGCTTGTTGGTGGCACGTTAGTGCGACACGTGGATTCGTCCTATTACTGACCACCACGGGCACAAAGGGGCTGAAACTTTTTGCCGACGACTCTGACTGCTCTTGCTCTGGAACACTGGCTATGCATGTTTGACGCAGACGGCACCGTCGATGACGAGGCGCTACCAGCATGCCGTCTATCATCTACTCGACGTCAGCTAGGCACCGTTGGAATATGTCCCCAATTATTCGACACATGACTCCCCTTTCCCTTTGCCTTGTCTCCATATCTCCACCCACACACTACTGCACACTCTCCTTTCTGCTTTTTTGTACTAATATAAACATGTTTCTCGGGCCGTCACGTCAACGGGGGATCTTGTCCCGAGTCTGCACGGGTCCCACCGGATATCTTGTTCCCGGCTCCCATCCTGCTGTACAACAGTAATGCCGCTGCGCTTACGCTTGCTACATGTGGTTAGCTGTTTGGAGGCACACCTGGGACATTTGTGAAATATCCCTCACCCAAAATCCTGGGCTTCATACTCGTGCTCTTACTCAGCTGACAAACTCGGATCCTCCTTTAGGAAAGAAAATCTCCACAAAAAAACGTTGCACGCACACGTCATTGCATACTCATAGTTACATAGCGATCGTCGTCGATGAAACGCCAACTCACTGCGTTCGGTCACGTGCACCCGATCGGCAGGGCCGCCGATACAAATCTTACACGCACACGCACATGTACCCTATAGGATAGTGGACCTTAGTAGGACTGCAGAACAATCGGTAGGTGCACGGTTTGCGGTTCGGTCAATAGACGTTGCCAACCAAATCTCACCGTTGTGAACTAGACCTGTCAGACAGAAAGGACGCAAGCGGAAAATGCATCCACAACGGCGTTAGCCTTCTATCTAAGGACATTTCGCCAACAGTACAGCTCAGTTTTAGTGCAACATGGCAATATATCCCATTCTCCATTTGCGTGATAGTGCAGCGTTTGCTTTATTGCTCCATCATCTGCTTATATTACTATTCGGACAGTTGCGGTGGTATAGTAGCTGTTGTGCAGCTCGATGCTGGTGTTGATCACGTGGTTTACGAAAAGGGTGTACTTGTATACGTCCTAACCAATCAGCTTCGACCTGCGAGTCCTCAGTCAATGGGACCTACCGAGCCTCTCTCTTGGGGCTGACATGCTGCCCGAAAAAGCAATTACCCGCGTGATTCTTTTGTGGGTTGCCCCTTGATGACAGTAATCATGTCGCATCGACTGCAACAAGCAGCCCATACCTCCACAGAATGCCAGGAGAGGTCGGGTCAAGGCTTAACTTGACAAACAACTCCAAGATAGTGAGGCGGCATGGCTTTGAGGCTTGGGCCGCTTGGGCCGCTAGCGCATAATGACATCGCCCAACCCTGGCGTGCTCCTTCACGTGTAACCTACAACCAGCGACGCCATCGCTGTTTATGGCGATTCAACCTTCATCTTGGCAATGCTACCTATAGGTAAACATAACAAAACTTGCCCCGACGAGACTGGAGATCCCTGGGGCACTTTGCGCCCACGCGATGTCCGTCTCCAACTCTACCTCTCCCTAGGCCTAGGCATAGGCGCATTCCTTATCTTTTGCGTATGGTTTGGCACCCTCCAAACGCCTGTATGCCTGCTGACTGGCGACATCAGTTTCTTCGCCCACGATGGAAAGGCCTCTATGCTGCGCGCAAGAAGCAGAAGAACCTCGCAACGGCGCTCCCCGACCTTCCCGATAGCTTTTTCGGCTGGATGATACCACTATGGAACATCACCGACGAACAGGTGCTGGCCTCGGCTGGCCTCGATGCCTACGTATACCTTGCATTCTTCAAAATGGCAATCAAGTTTCTGCTCATCACCCTCTTCTTCGCCCTCGTCGTCATCAAGCCAGTACACGATACCCACCAGGACAAAGAAGGAAAGAAATCTCCAATCCGCCTAGACCCAGGCTCCGAGCATATTGAGGTTCGCAGTACCTTTACTACGTTTGCCGCCGAATATGAACGTTACACCGACTATCTGTGGATGTATCTCGTCTTCGTCTACCTCTTCACCGCCCTTATCCTATACTTGATTGTCTCGGAAACTAGAAGGATTATTGAGATTCGGCAAGAGTACCTTGGCGGCCAGACAACCATCACCGACCGAACCATCCGGCTTTCCGGTATTCCGGTCGATCTTCGCTCCGAGGACAAGATCAAGGCGTTCATCATGGACCTTGGTATCGGAACGGTGGAGAGTGTGACGCTATGCAAGAACTGGAAGGAGCTGGATAGCAAGCTTATTGAGAGGCGTGTCATTGTCAGAAAGCTCGAGGAAGCCTGGACTGTTCATCTCGGTAGCCGAAGGGTGGAGCGCAGCCTCGAGACTCTTCCGGTAGTCCAACCACGACCACCAGAGCCCGTGGCTGATGGCAGCAACAACGACAACGAGAGAAGCCATTTTCTGGGCGATACAGAGCGCAACTCTAGCCACATCGTCCCCTACGCCAACAAGCGCCCGAAAATCAAACTATGGTACGGTCCTCTCAAGTTAAGATACAAAAAAGTGGATGCCATCGACTATTATGAAGAGAAGCTGCGAAGAATCGACGATGAAATCAGAGCTTTGCGCAAGAAGGATTTTGAACCAATGCCTCTGGCGTTTGTGACAATGGACAGCGTTGCGAGTGCTCAAATGGCGATTCAGGCCGTACTCGACCCTTCCCCATTGCAACTCTTGGCAAGAAACTGTCCAGCACCGTCAGACGTTGTCTGGTCAAACACGTATCTGACTCGTTCCCAAAGGACATTCAGGTCTTGGTCCATCACAGTCGTCATCGGCATTCTGAGCGTTTTCTGGACTGTTCTTTTTGTACCCATTGCAGGCGCTCTGAACACATGTTCGATTGCTGGTGTTCTCCCTGGGCTTGCGGAACTGTTGGAGAAGCATGAAACTCTTGAATCGCTTGTCAACACACAGCTTCCGACGCTGGCATTGACTCTTATCAACGTAGCTGTACCTTTTCTATACGACTGTAAGTAGAACTGGCTCTTACCAGTGATTACCACACACGCTAACAATTTGCAGGGCTTGCAAACAAGCAAGGCATGATCTCCCAGGGTGATGTTGAGCTATCAGTCATTTCGAAAAACTTCTTTTACACCTTCTTCAACTTCTTCATACTCTTCACTATCCTAGGAACAGCGTCCGGGTTTCTGGCCATACTTGAGGGCTTTGCCGAAAAACTCACAAGTGCCACAGAGATTGCATACGCTCTGGCTACCTCACTTTCCAACCTATTAGGCTTCTACACCAACTTCATCATGTTGCAAGGGTTCGGAGTCTTTCCGTTCCGACTACTGGAATTTGGTGCTCTTTCCCTGTACCCAGTCTACTTGATGGGTGCTAAAACACCTCGGGACTATGCTGAGCTTGTGCAACCCCCAGTCTTTAGCTACGGTTTTTACCTACCACAGACGATTCTCATCTTTATCATCTGCATGGTCTACAGTGTATTGAAGGACTCTTGGCAAGTTTTGCTTACTGGTCTGGTCTACTTCATGATTGGCCACTATGTTCACAAATATCAGCTCTTGTATGCCATGGAGCACCGCCAACACTCGACTGGAAAGGGTTGGACTATGATGTGTGACCGCGTCATTGTAGGCGTTGTCCTCTTTCAGATCACTGTGGCTGGTCAATTGGCTTTGAAAAAGGCGTTCAGGCGCGCAGTGCTCATAGCCCCGCTCGTGATTGGCACGATATGGTTTTTGTTTGTTTTTGCACGCACCTATCGGCCACTGATGAAGTTTATTGCTCTCAAAAGCCTGCGAAGGCCAGAGCAATCTGACCTGGGTCGCGACGTACAAGAAGAATCCTTTGGCCCTGGGCAAAATGGCCGAAGGGTCATGGGCAGACTCACCTTGGACGAAGCCCGCGAGAGCGGCCTACGCTTTGAGAATCCTAGTCTGGTTATGCCGTATGTATTTCTTCTTCTTCTTCTTCTTCTTCTTCTTCTTCTTCTTCACCATTGACTAGTACCAAAGCTGACCTTCTCCAGGCTTGACAATGTTTGGATCAACAACAAACCCGCAACATCTCCAGGTGGATCAGACAGTTCGACGACAAACGGTGCCGTTGGCAACTGGAATTAACATGATTGCACCTTGCTTGGTCTTACGCTCACGACGCCCCTTTATGTATCATCTCACGATCTCAGTTTCCTGTAACGCACTTTGCTCATTTACTTATTTGTGCTTTGTTCCTTCGCTCATTTGTGCTTTATTGATACCCTCCGCACGTAACGCAATTGGTTATGAGTTCTATGACATCCTTACTCTACAAGTCCGATTCAACGAGCCCCTTCTGACATACCGCCATCTTCTCCACCCCAAACGCCTCCCTCACCCTTGGAAATTTCCAAACTTCGCACTTGCCCGCATCTGTAAACGCCGAAATAGAAAGGCACGGGCGGGTTTGCACAGAAATCTCGCAAACATTCGCCAGTGTAGTTATGCGCGTACCGCGCAAAGAAAGCGGCCATGCGGGACCCTCATGATTATGCAGCGTGGCAGTCTCCTCGTTCGCACACGGCTCATCCCACCAGTCGAGCCAGTGGTTGCAGCCAGGTTGGACGGGGCGATCTGATTGGTGGTCGTTGCTGGGAGAAAAGTGGCATACACTCGGTGGGACAGAGTATAACATGATGATATCGCCGTAGACGACGACTATGCGTGCACCCTCCGACATGTCTGCTGCGACGCGGTAGAGCCTTGGTGACGCACCATTTTTCGGGGGGAGGAATTCGATTTTACGAACGAGCTCTGTGGTGCCTAGGACGAGGTGGTCGCTGGGGTAATCGACGAAGAGTAGGTGGTGGCCGTCGCTGAGAGGGGTGGCGTTGTCATGGTCGTATGATGTGGGGTTTGGCTGGCGAGATGTAGATTCGAACTTGGAGGAGCCATGGAAGTGGACGTTGGGGAAGAGTCTGCGCTTCATGGAAGGGCGGTTGTCTTGGTGGGCGGTGCTAGAGATAAGACGGAGTGAATTGGATGATGATGATGATGATGATGATGATTCGTATTCTGTTCGTGATGGGAGGAAGTAGACATGGTCGCTTGGAGCTATGAGGGAAAACCAGCGATGTAGACTCTGGCCTGAGGATTCGTCGATCCATTGTACGTCCATGCCTGCTGAACAGCCAAAAACTACACACTGGCTTTGGGGGCACAAAGAAACACTTCGTGGTGGGTCGTTGTTGGAGCCCAGATCGCTGTAGATCGTCGAGTCGTTTTCGATCAAATTCCACGTCTGGTTGATCAAGTTGTGCTCATGTAGGGCACTGTTGTTGGTGCCTGTGATGCTTATCCTTTCGCTGTTCGACTGGATGTGAATTGCATTGAACTGCGTACGATCCTGCTCCTGCTTCTGCTCCTGTGGACCATGCCCAAATAACTCTTCTGGAAGTTGTCGCACCATGCCCGTCCGGCCTTCCAGAATTGCAGCGATGGCGTATCTACCGCCATATAGGCCCATGGTGATGGCCAGTACTCGTCCCTGGCACTCGGCGCTTACCATATATATCAGACGGCCAGCCTCGAGTTGGTAAATATGAATTAGCGCTTCCTGGGCTATGCACAGGAACCGCGAGCAGATACTGGTGGTGAAGATTAGTTCACCACCGGGTTGGCTGTCCCTCAGGCCGGTGAAATCCACCTCTGAGCTCTTGGTGAATATTGCCTCTGTTTCCAACCCAGCCCGGCCTGGAGCCAAGGCACACTCTCTGGCAAGTTGGCAGCTCAGCCACTGCCATTCTCTGCTGGCATCTACGCCCGTCCAGCCACCCCTTTCTAGCATTACCATGAGCAGATTTCTATCCAGACTGGCCTTCATCCACGCTCGGCATGTGCGCCGGGCAGCGTTGAAGTCCTTTGGCCCTAGGTAGCCATATACTTGTAGGAAGATTTCGACTGGTAGGCCCTTTGTCGAGGCCATTGTTCTGTTTTGTGGTTGGTGATGTGGTGGTGTCTTGAAGGGGGGAAATGGAGAGTATGTTGAAGTTGTGTTGGTAGTCCAAAGGGCAGGGAAAATAGTCACCTATATAGTATGAGGGGACGATGAAATTTAAAAGTAAATACTAAAAAAATACCATAAATGGTTTCCGTGGTTGTGAAGATTCCAAAGGAATAATCGAAATGCGACAAATGGTATCCGTGTTTACAAAAGTGGGTACCATGTAGGCAGACGTTATTTAAACCAGTGGTATCTCAAAGTACACCAATGTCTATTACGGCAATCTGTCTATCCAAGATGCTGTTAAAGGAACATTAAAGTCATCCACGGTTTGACATTTTGAGGTAGTAAGTAAAAAGAAATAGGGTTTGTCTTCGAACATCTCACCCCTTCTGAACCCCCAAGCAACACGTGATATCTGAACACACAGCAGTATCGATCACTAATTTATTTTTGATTTTCAAGATACAAAGAGATTTATTTTCTATACATTTTGGTACAAAATAAGCTTTGACAATACTTTGTTCCGCCATAAACTAAATGTAACTAACACCAAACTTAAAGTTAAAATTCGTTATCTAGCTATAAGTGTCTGGAGCTTTCCCTTTATATGCACACAGCGATGTAGTATTGAGTGTTATTTTCTCTGTTGTTGTTTCTGGGAAATATACCATGTTCACCGCTTGATGGGACAAATTCAGGGATATCATGGCGTGATTCTGTTTAATATATTGCACGTGACATGGGGTGAGGTTAAATCATTTTTCTGCAAAGTTGTGACTTCTCGATGAACGTGTGATGCTATTGAATAGTTCAAGTGAAATTCTTGTCTGTCTCTATGTCACAGTGTCTGGTAAGTGAAGTGGAGTACTTTTTTGTTTCTTCTGTGTCTGGCGAGGTTTGCGAATATGATGGTATCCATGTGTATACTGTTGCGCCCAGTGTTGGAAGCATGGGACAAGTCTTGATTTTTGTTCATGTGAAAGCTTAAGAGGTTGGGTATTATAGACAGGCGGGGCTGGTTGATATGGGTGTGGACATGAACATCAAGGTGCGAGAATGTTGGCTTAAGAGCGTGCATAGCAAGGCTGCATGTTACTAACGGTAAGATTGGATATGGAAAGACCAAAGAAAGACCTTGACTAATGGTTGAAGTTGCGCGATTTAGAAGTGGTATGTTTTTGACTGGGCAGCTCTTTTCAGCCCGAAGATTTTCGGCTCGTTTACTGTAAGGGGCCAGTAAAGATTAAAACAAGGCAAAGAAGCAAGACATGTTGGTCAAGAATTAATACCAGGATGAGAAATGTCGCACACGAGGATGATGATCCTGCCAACGGTGAAGCCGATGATTGCTTGTTTTGCAAGAGAGGCAAAAGGAAAGAAAAACACCCCAGTTGTTTAGCAGCGTGGGCAGCGTGAGTGGATGTCGAGTGTTTTTGGCGAGGAGAACTTTTCAAGTAAGTAGACAGTGCGCAGGTTGTTAAGGACCAGGAAGGAAGTATCGATAAAATGGAATGCGGATATCAAGCGAGATTAGGCAAGAGGAAGCGGGGCGGGTAGTGGAATTGTAAGGATCGGGGGATTGAAAATAAACTCGGTAGGGCGGAACACGTAATCACGGGCGCAAAGGGCCGAAGGGAGCAAAGCACAATGTGGAAAAGCATTGGCGATCATCCGCTTGTAATACGTGCGGACAGGCCTTCCCAACAGTTGCGAGGGCTGGTGGTGAGGTCGAGGGCTGAAGAGTGCAGATCGATCAAAGGTCATGCTGTTGTGTGTTGGGGACGCACGGAAGAGATGCAGGTGACGATGGCATGACCCAGCCAGCCCCCCACCCCGCCTCCCCGCCCCCTGGCGAGATTTTTTTTCTCTTCTAAATGTACAATGTACGCACAGCAGATTACGCGTTCGTGAGCGGGGTGGAGGTTGGAGCAAAACATGGGCGGGAGACAAGAGAGGCTGGAGGATGTTGAGGGAGCGAGGGGCGGGAGGGCTAAGGGATGACGGTGTCATGTCCTGCAGCAGGCCAGCAGCGATGCGATGCATCGGAGCAACGGGGTTGGGCGGCGGGTGCAGTAGCGAACCAGAGGGCGGTTTGGGGCTGGGGAGGAGCAGTCTATCGAGAGGCATAATCAAAAGGAAATTTGGCAAAAACATGCGTGACGGGTGGCTGGCAGCAAGGAACAAGCTAAGGTTCAGGGTTTGGGGGAGGGCAGGGCCAGAGTGTGGTGGTCAGCATGACGTGCGGAGAGAAGCGGTTGCGACATTGTATGCGCGTGTGTGCGTGTACATACTGTGTAGTATGTGTGAGTGGATGGACGTGGGGTGGTAGTAGGAGGAGGAGGAGGTGTATGTATGTATGCATGCATGCATGCAGCGCCAGCCCCCCTGGAGGGAAAATGGCGGGATGGAGGACTAGTAGGTAAGTGAGTAGACTACTTACTAGAGGGAGATGGGGTGGATGCCGGGGACAGGAGGTTTTAGGGCGGTGATGGGAGGATGCCGAGCAGCAGAGCAAGATGCATGTCGCAGGCGTACAGTCGAGAAGAGAAAGGCTAGCAGCAGTGTCAGTGCGGCCCATGATGATGATGGCGGCGGCGGCGGCATGGATGGGGCGCGCCACTGTGGACGGCTCCCCCCCCTGAGCTCGGCTGGCTTGACAAGAGGCGTAGGCCGTAGGCGTGTTGCAGCCGGCCATGTCGACACGTGTGTAGGGAGGGAGTTGAGGTTACGCAGGAGAGGGTACGGAAGCAGAAGCAGGCAAAGTCCGTGGGTCTGGCTGCTGCAGGCATGCGGGTGCCAAGGCGTGTTTTTGTTATGAAGTATCGGAATTGCTTTGTGGCTGGGGTGGTTGTGGGTGCAGGTGGTGCAGGTGGTGTAGCCCAAGAGGCATGCCTGCGTAAATCGTGCCTTGGGCTTGTCCAGTCTTCGGCAATGGGCTTTGGGGCGCCAGAGGGCAGGCCAGATGACGACGCGGCAAAGCGACGATGCGACGATTGTCGTTGAGGGCGTGGGGCGTGTGTGGTAGGCTGGCTGCTGGCCGGGCTGGAGGCGTGCAGGCTAATTTTGGCGTGCACATGAGGGTCCCTGACATGGAGTCTGTGTCTGTGTGCATGTGCATCCTGGCATCCGGATATGCTAGCATCCTGTACTAGCATCCTAGCAGCCGCCCACTTGGTGTCCCACCACCCCTCGACCAGCCGTTTGCCGTTTGGCACTGGCACTGGCACTGGCATTGGCATTGGCACTGGGACTGGGACTGGGTGACAGCACCACTTTGCGCCCACCAGCACCAACACGGCAACGTGCCAGACGGGCCCTTTGACGCCGCACGTTCACACATCCAGGCCACAATGGTGAAGAAGAGGAAGAGGGAGATGATGATGATGATGGTGGTGGTGGTGAAGAAGAAGAAGAAGAAGAAGAAGAAGAGGAAGAAGAACAATGGTAGCCAGGGCCACAATGGATAGACATGCGGTGCTGCAGGTCGAGTTGAGAAGATCAGACGGTGCCCAAGAAGGGCAGTCATCGATGGCGTCCAAGCGGCACTATGCCTCGTACGGCGCCCCGCTATGGAACGGTACCTTTTGATCCCCATCTGTCCCTAGTACACAGTAGGCGCGTTGCTCGGTTGGCTGACGGCGGCGCACTCCTGACTACTGCTGCTGCTGCTCTTGTTGCTCTTGTTGCTCTTGCTGCTCTTGCTGCTGCTGCTGCTGCTATTACCACCTGCCTGCCTGCCTGCCTGTCTGCCTGCCCGCCTGCCCGCCCGCTGGTCTACCTTACCTGCTTGCACTCGCACTTGCACTTGCACTTGCACTTGCACTTGCACTTGCACTTGCACTTGTCTGCCCTATCTTAGCCATTGCCAGCTACTGCCATCCGTGCACTCATTCTCTTATACTCTACTCGCTCGCTGGCCAGCCGTTTGCTCCACCTGCCCGCCTCTGCCCTCGTCGACAACCCACCCCTCTGTTTCTGTTGCTACTGCTGCTACTACTACTGCTGCTGCTGCTGCTATTGCTGCAAGACATTGCCGCTCGCTGCCTCATTGCATACGCTGCTTGCCCTGCGCTGCTCCTGCTTCTGCTCCTGCGGCTCACCACCCCTACCCGGTAAGTCCGTCGCCGTTCATCCATCAGGAACCGTTCCATGATGTCGGAATGGGCGCATCATCCATTCCCCTTCCAGCCTTGACAGCCTCCCGCTTAATTGGCTGCAATCCAAACCCTCGTGTTGCCATGATGATGACGACGATGACCGACCCGGCCCTGGTGCCATTTGTGCCTAGCCAGCACGGTCCCGTCGTTGAAACACGGCGATACGAAGACACCAGTCCATCTCAGCTCATCCACCACCATTCACTGCCTGCGCCTCCCTCCGCATGCGCCTGCGCCCCCCGTCATCTCTCTCGGTCAATACCACGCCGCCACGCGACAACATTCATTTGATGCATAACTAATTCGACTTTGTAGACGATATCCACTCGCTCCCTCACCCGTCCGCCCGCTGATCCTCCGCCGCCGCCGCTGCACCACCTCGGCTCTTGATCGCATCCATCGCACCCGCTTCAGACTCCCCCCTCCCCTCCCCCAACTGCGTCCGCCTTCGCCGAGTTGCCTTCTGGGTGCATGATACTGTCGCTTCACGGTTGAGAGAGGCCGCTGTAGCCAGTGGCGGGCGCTCCTTCCACTGCAAATTCACAAAAAAAAGCAGCACCACCATGGTCAAGCCAGGTCTCGGCCTCTTCACCGCCCGCCGCAAGTCGCAGGGCAATGTTTTCGAAGAGGTCGACGTTGCCACCAGCCCCGACACGACGGCTCCCCCTGCGCCTCAGCCAGCACCTACAGACTCTGGCGGCTTCCGTCTGTTGAGCAGGACCGAAGTGGAAAAAGCCAAAGAGCAGCGCAAAACACAGGAGAAGGAGCGTTCTTCAAAGTTCCCTCGCTTCAGCAGCTTGGGTAGCAAGAATCGCAACCAATCTTTTGACGACGATTCTCCAGGCTCGTCTAAGCGGTAAGTCTCTACCCGCTAAGTCATAGCGTCGGCCGGACTGACCCTTTAATTAGCGACAGCAAGTCAAGCAGTGGGACTCAATTTTCCACTTCGAGACCCTATGCCAATGGGCAGCACGGCTCCACATCTACACTCCCTTCTTCCACCGACGCCAGTTCAGACGATAACCTTTTTACGAACATCCCCCGTCCTGCTCTCCAGCAACACAACAGCTCCCCTGGCCCCCACTCAGTAGCCGCCCTCAAGAAGCAACTCCCTCCACAGCCAAAGTCCAACTCGGGCGTGTCGTCATACAAGGATCTATCCAACGCAGGGTGGAGTGGCCGAAATAGGGCCATGACTACATCCAGCTACGCCAGCACTGCTGTTCCCCCTAAGCTCGAGGCAGACCTCAGCTTTGGTGGCTTCGAAGACGACATGTTCAGCCATCTCCAACGCAAGGACTCGCCCGAAGCACAACGCGAGCCAACGGGACGCTCGCTACTCGCTGAGAAGCGCACTGTTCAGCCAGAGCCCATCAAGATCAAGTCACAGTTTGACGTTGAACCACCCATGAAAAGCTGGGACAGCCGCAACTCCGCTGACAACCTCATGGCCTCGTCGCACTCGGACCGCGAGGCCTCACCGCCTCCGCCTCCGCCTCACAAATACTCGGCCTACGCCCCCGTCGCCTCCGAGAGTCCTACATTCCACTCCAGCTCTACCTTCCACGATCCCGACGCCCAAACCGTCCGCAAGTCCTTCATGGAAAGAAACTCGTACCACGACACGCCCCCTGAATCCAAACCAAACTCCATGTCGTCATCATCTGCAAACTCTTACGAGACACCGTACTCCTCACGATCTGTCACGAGCACAAACAACAACGCCACTCCAAAGGCTGCCCCGGCACCAGCAGTCGTCACATCGTCGTTGTCGTCCGGTGACAAGCAGGACGAAGACTTGTTCTCGCAATCAAAACCTGCACCCACGCCGCACCAAGTACCCACAATACGGAAGGCTGCGGCTCTTCCCCCTCAAAATAAGGCCTTGTCTGCCCCTGCTTCAGATGCCAGTCGACGCGTCATGTCACAAGCTGAGTTCCGCGAGTATCAACAAAAGGCCATGACGCAACCGCCGCCAGAGGAAGACTCTGAAGAGGAAGACTACGAAGATGAGGAGGACGCCATCAAGCGGCGAGAGGAAGAGGAGCTTATGAGGCGGAAGAACCAACAGATGCACTTTGCTCGTGAGGCCATGAAACGCTCAACTACCGCTTCGGGAAATCCAGCTGAATCTGGACCCGACGCCATGGGCTTCCCATCCGAGACATCCATGAAAGCAGAGGAGTGGGAGGATGAGGACGTGCCCTTGGGCATCCTTGCTCAGCACGGCTTTCCCAGCCAAGCCCGCAACAGGCATCCCAGCCAGCCAACAAACGCCATGCCGTCTTATATACCAGATCGTCCAGCCTCTGCTGGAGCCATGAGCCAGCGTGGAGCCAACAACATGAGCCTTCCCGCCTTTGCCCGACACTTGCCCCAGGATCCCTACAGCAACTCCGTCATCGGTGGTGGCTTGATCCGACCGACAAATCGCGAGTCAATGGGTTTCAACGGTTTTGCTCAAGGCCCTGCGTCAGTTGCGGGTGACTCTGTTGTTGGCGGCATGCCCATGCCTCACAACGTGGTGTACCAGGAGGCCGGCTTATCGCAGCCCTCACTTGTAGATCAGATTCAGATGCGGGACATGACCAAGCAAAAGTACATGGGCGGTGGTTCGGCCAAGAAGCCCCAAGCTGGGCCTTTTACCGGTATGCTCGGCCAGCAGATGAATGCCAACGGCCAAGCCCAGAACCCTATGCGCATGTCGCACATGCCCATGATGAATGGCATGAATGGCATGAGCGGTATGAATGGCATGAACCCGATGATGAACATGATGGGTGGCCAAATGGGCATGGGAGGCATGGGCGGTATGAATGGCATGGGCATGGGCATGGGTATGGGTCAGATGGGATACCCAATGGTGCAAGGGAGCGACTACATGCAACAGATGCAACAGATGCAGCAGATGCAGCAGATGCAGCAGATGATGGCCATGCAGCAGATGCAGCTTCAAATGATGCAGCAGCCCCAGCAAGATCCTCGCATGTCCATGGCCATGTCCAACAACGGCTATGCAGCCAGCACCATTGGTGGTGGCGGCGCCGCCAACTACCTCAACGTACCCGGTAGCCAGAGCCGAACAATGTCGTTTGTAGGAGGCAGCGGAAATCTACCACCACCACCACCGCCGCAGCAGCAGCAGCGTACAATGTCCCTTATGGGCCCTCATCCAGGGTACACTCCCTCCATCGCACCATCCGAGCGTTCTAACGTTGGTTTGTCCGCTAGGTATCGACCGGTCGCGAATCTCTCGGATGCCATGTCCAACGGAACCTCGATGACCCTGCAAGTCGGCGGAGGCGCCAACCAGAGTCGAGCCGGTGCGATCAAAGGCATACTGAAGAAGGGTAGCCCTGGGCCGCAGGTTAGCGTTGCCGAAGTTGATGAAGGCGACGAAGATTGGGGCAAGATGGCTGCGAGAAAGAATAAGTCGCGAGGCAAGGAGAACAACAGCTCAGGCCTCGAGGACCTTACCCGCGGACTCAACATATAGATGTCGTACGTACACGGCTCACGCACATATACGCATTTCGATTATTTATCCCCCTCACATAACCCCCCAACGCATGTTTAAAGAGAGCGAGAGAGACCAAAAAGCAGCAACATAATACGGATGTAATGGACACGGAGAGAATGCGATCCAGGAAACACTTCTCCTTTTTTTTTCAAGAAAACCTTTTACTATTTTGACAAAACACGGAAGCGATTTTTCGTGGGCCCTTTTTCTGTCCCCATGGGTCCTGGAATTTTTTTAGGGGAGAAAATCCCTAGGGCTTGAAACTTTTTGTACATTTGGATAATGTTGCATTTACACCGGGCGTTCATTTTTCTTTACACACATCTATTGATCATCTCGGGTTTATTTCTTCTCTTGTCACAAAGGTTCATATTCTCTTCGATTGTCCCTTTGTTGGGAAATTCTTGTTTCCCTTTGCTTGTGGGAAATGGGAGGAGAGAAGAAAAAGGGGTATTTGGCAATTTGGGGGTGGAGAAGTTCAGGGTGGAAGTAGGGGAGAGAGATGGAGAGGGAGGGAGGGAGAAGGAGGAAATAAGAAAAAATATGTAATCATGTAGCGGGATCTTTGTTGTTTTGCACCTCCATTATTTCTGGTCCAAACCTCACTTCTTCATCGTTTTCCTTTGGCACACAGCTCCTCTTTATCTTTTGTATTCCCATCTCTTGTGTATGCACAGGGTCTTTGTGTGGATTCCATCCTTTTGCATATATAGACATTGGGCATGTATGTATGGGATTTTTCCTCAAATTGGAATTGGGGATTTTTATTTGGACTGGGCGGGGGTGCCTAATGGAATAGAAAAGGAGAATGTTCAGAGAAAGAAAGAAAATGAATTAGATGATCAAAATGAGACAAGAAATGCGTGTGTTCTTGATTTGGCTTTCGTTTGAAGTAGAAAACGTGTGATTCATATAATGCCGGGTATATATACTCGTTCTTTGCAAAGAGTCCGGATTGAATAAAATCATGCTGTTGGTATCGCAGACAAGACTCATGTTAACAAGTTTACGAGTCTGGGTATGGCATGTACGTAGCACGTAGCACGTAGCATGTATTAACTACAGAGAGGAAGGGGAATCGTGTAGTGGACAGAAGAAGAAGAAGAAGAAGAAGAAGAAGAAGAAGAAGAAGAAGAAGAAGGGGGACATCTAGTTCACTATTCTCTCTCTCTCTCCTCTCTTATGCCTCTGCTGCTGTACTCGCTCATGTCTCATCCAACCCCATCTCTTCATTGAGAAAATACACACAGGCGGGGGTTGTGGAAACATAGAATCCGGGGGATCTACCATTCAACAAGCGAGAACAACAATAAAAAAATAAAGAATAATAATCAAGACGCCGCCGCCGTGTAGAAACGCCTTGATTCGTGATCATATCTGTTACATAATCATGTCATGATCAATGGTACGCCTTCCTTCTTTCTTCCTCATCATCTTTTTCCTTTTTTCTTCCTTTCACTGCTTTGCTTTGACACTATCCGGGCCGAATCTAACCATCTCGATCCAACAGTTCCCGGGCAGCAATGATTTCCGCCTCTTCAAATCCTTGCCAGCCCTTTTTACCGGATTTGTAATTCCGAATCATTTCAGCCAGCTTGTTTGTTGCGATTTCCTCGAGCTTGCGGATGATTTCGGGGCTGGGGAGGGACACGTCGTCGGAGTCGTCGCGGCGGGTGGTTGCTGATGATGAGGTGGCGGGGTCGGAGAGGAGGGTGTTGTTGAGCTTGGAGGTGAGGAGCTTGAGGCCGTAGTAGCCGCGCAGGTACGAGTCGTTGAGCTCGACGGAGCGACAGAAGTGCTTAAGTGCTAGAGCATATGAGGAGAAGTTGGGTGGGCTGTTGGCGGCGGTGGAGAGATAGTGGAGTGTTGCAATGTGGGCATGGGCCTGGCAATCCAAGGGTCAGCAATGGGGGAACGATGCCAATGGGAGGCGAATGGGAGTCAACTCACAGTCCAGGCATTGGGCGTGATGAGCAGCACCTCTTCTGCACAGAAGATGGCCTGTCCCCAGGCACCAGTGCTGGCATACAGCTCACTTGCTTCGGCCCAGGCCTCGGCGTCCGTGGGGCTATTGTGCAAGAGTGCCGCTACTGCCGTAATGGCGTCTTGTGTCCTGCCCAGCGCCTTGAGCACGGCAACCCGTCGCTTGCGGATGCTCATGTTGGTGGGGTCGTCCTTGAGGATCTTCTCGTATGCATCAAAGACCTTCTGTAGGTCTGCGTCCGTCTTGGACGTGGCCTCATTGTAGATGCCGCGCAGCGTGATGATGCGCTCGTTGTGGTCGCCAAAGCGCGCCTCAAGCCGGTGCAGAATGTCAAGGGCGGCCTTCTCGTCACCGGTGCGCAGCGTCGAGAGGAACAAGTTCTCGTGGATGGTCCATGTCTCCGGTGTTTCCCGAGAGAAGAGTAGTGACAGCGGCCAGGGTAGCGATGATGTGGGAGTCGATGATAGGATGAGGGGCGCTTTCTGTGAGAGGGCCAGAGCAGAGGGCGGTGGTATTTGCGAGGGTGGCGAGAGCAGATTGGCGTGTGACATGGCTGCAATCGGCGTCGTCAAGGTTGGGGTCCGGCGATGGTCTGTAAGGTGGAATGTGGAGTTGAGCTGTGCTGGACGCCCTGTCCTAGCTCCGCTCGGCCAAACTAGGTAGCGTCCTGCCGCCCGCCGTCGGTGTCTCCACTGACATTCACAACTGTACGTCGTCCTTGACTTTCCAGAAAGAAAGAGAGAGAGAGAGCGAGAGAGAGAAAGGAAGGCGGCCTTCGCCTCCACAAAAACCATTACTCTTCTACAACTTCCCCGCCATCGCCTATGCCTTCAGTCATGACTGCCTCACCCCAATGATCATGCCGACTGGCCCACCACCATTAACACCCTCCCGCCAAACTACCCCTCCTCGCACCCTCCTACACCTCGACGCACGACTGCGCCTGCTCCCTTGAGCACCCGCAAACATGTACCCGCCATCCCCCAACCTCTGCCCCTCAAACCACGCACGCTAATCAGCTCCCAGGTTCGAGAAATCCCTCTTCGACCTCATTCGAGGCCTGCGCAACCACAAGGGCAATGAGCGAGAGTACATTGCCGAGAGCATAAAAGAATGCCGCAAGGAAATCCGCACAAACGACATGGACCTCAAGGCCACAGCCCTTATGAAGCTCACCTACCTCGAGATGTTTGGCCATGACATGTCCTGGGCCAGCTTCAACGTCTTGGAAGTCATGTCGAGTTCAAAGTTTAAGCAAAAGCGCACAGGATATCTGGCTGCCGTACAGAGCTTCCGCAGGGACACCGAGGTCCTGGTGCTTGCCGAGAACCAGCTCAAAAAGGATATTATGAGTCCGAGCCCCCAGTATATTGCGCTTCCGCTTGGCGCCATCCCGCACGTCATCAATCCCAGCATGGCCAATTCAGTCCTGTCAGACTTGATACCGCGACTCACACACTCTAACGCAATGGTCCGCAAGAAGACTGTCGTTACGCTGTACAGACTAGCCCTGGTATATCCCGAGACACTGCGACCTGCATGGCCCAAGATCAAGGAACGTTTGTTGGACGATAATGAGGATCCGAGCGTGACGGCTGCCATTGTAAATGTCGTGTGTGAGTTGGGATGGAGGCGACCCCAAGACTTTCTGCCGTTGGCGCCTAGGTTGTTTGATCTCTTGGTTGAAGGAGGAAATAACTGGATGGCCATCAAGCTTATCAAACTTGTAAGTACTATAAAGGTGCTTATATAACCCGTTGCTAACAGGGTCCAGTTTGCTACTTTGACTCCGTTGGAACCCCGATTGATCAAGAAACTTCTCCCGCCTCTAACTAAAATTATTCGGGAAACATCTGCCATGTCTTTGCTGTACGAATGTATCAGTGGCATCATCCAGGGTGGCATTCTAGAAGCTGTCGAAGGCACCTCGGAAGGAGAAGAGGTTGCAAAGTTGTGCGTTGGCAAACTGCGCGGCATGATGATAATAGAGGGTGATGCAAATTGTAAGCGAAGACATACTGAAATACAAGGTTCAATTTCTCATCATTATGCAGTAAAATACGTCGCATTGCTTGCTTTCGAAAAGATTGTCACGTCCCATCCCTATCTTGTCTCCCAGCAACAAGACGTCATTCTTGAATGCATTGACGATCCCGACATTTCAATACGGATGCGCGCTCTGGATCTTGTCGTTGGCATGGTCAATGCCGATAATTTAACAGCCATTGTAGGACGATTGATGCGACAATTACGTAATGCGCCAGTTGCAACTGCAGTAAACGATCCAAACAACGACCGAGGCAGATTGACTGGTGTCACACCTTATGGCGACGACGATTCAGACGCCGAAGATAATCTACCACAACACGAACAGAAATCAGACCAACCGCCACCCTTGCCAGATGACTATCGCACAAGCGTAATTCGAAGGATTCTAGAAATGTGCTCGCGTGATACGTACAGCAACATTAGCGACTTTGAATGGTACATTGATGTTCTCACTCAGCTTGTCCGCGTATCACCAGCTACAAAGGCAACTTCAGTGATAGAAGAGGAGGAGGAAGAGTCAGAACATGCTGATGAGACTGGTGCTGGCATTGGGTGTGAGCTACAAAATATTGCTATACGGGTGAAAAGCGTTCGGCCAGAAGCTGTCGAAGCTGCACAGTCACTTGTTCTTATCGATCGTCGGGACCAGATGTTTCCCGCTTCAGGTAATGGCGGCCAAGGCGTGCTCGAGTACGCTGGCTGGCTTGTAGGCGAGTACGCCCGCTACCTCACTAGACCGGAACCTGTCATGACCTCCCTCTTGCATCCTGCTTCGCTCCAGCTGCCTTCAAAAACCCTCGCCATCTACCTGCAGGCGATACCTAAAGTCTTCTCCAGCATGGCCGGAAACGATCAAATAGCGTGGACTCCGGAACGCAAGACATTAATGTCTCTTCTCATGGCACGAATCATCCACTTTCTAGAGCCACTGTCGACGCACCCTAGCCTGGAGGTGCAAGAACGTTCGGTCGAGTACCTGGAACTAATGCGCCTTGCCGCAGAAGCCGCATCGGGCACTGCTGCTAGTGCAAATCAGAACGAGTTTACTGACCCACCTCTCCTGCTCACACAAGCCATCCCTGCCCTCTTCTCTGGAGCTGAGTTGAATCCAGTGGCCCCTGGCGCGCAACGCAAGGTTCCCATTCCTGAGGATTTAGATCTCGATACGCCCATCAACTCCAATCTGCAGCATCTGCTTTCTGCAGTCGACGCGGAGGGCTTCGAGACAGAAGAAGATGATGTTTATGCCGCATACTCTGAACCAGCTGCCGCCCTGACAGAAGCACCAACCGTTATAGCGCCAGCAGCAGACCGCCTTGATGGCTCCCAAAAGGAGCCAACATCTTATCAAAATGCTACGGAAGACGAATATCTGGATCCCGATATCATTGCTCGTCGGAAAGCAGAACGCAGAGAGCGATACAAAGACGACCCTTTTTATATTGACCCTGAGGGGGATACCAGCGGACCAGTGACACCTCTGAGTAGAATCGTACGGGACGGAAACAGGGAGAACAACGACCTGGATATCGACTCCATCCCGATCATGGAGCTCAACCTTGACAGCAAGGGCTCTTCCTCTGAACACCTTCCGCGGTCACGGAGTCCTCGTAAACCGATACGCAAAGTGGATATTATGGGCGACGAGACGCTCGGATCTGCTGCACCAGAACCCTCCATTAGCAGAGAAGACAGTACACAGGGGCGCCCGGGCAAAACGAAGAAGTCACTCCTCCAAGTCGACAGTTCGGGTCTCGGTGCGCTAAGTCTGGACGATAACGACGCCCCTTCGAACCGCAAGCTTACGGCGCTCGAGATGGAGCGCAAGGCACAGGAAGATGCTGAAATGAAGCGAGCGCTACAAGAGGTGGAGCGCTTGCGACTGGAGATGCAGCGCGCTAGTGAGAGACTATTAGTCAAGGAGGAAGTTGCAGTCAAAAAGAAGAAGAAGAGAAAGGTGAGAAAGGTTGCTGTTGAGGGAGACGAGCCGGATGAAATGGCACTAGAGGCTACTATAGGTGTTGATGGCGGTGAAGCAGGAGATGGAGAAGAGGCAAAGACGACGCCTGTCAAGAAGAAGAAAAAGAAGAAGGTCCAGACTGTTGAAGGTGACGGTGGTAGCCAGGACAAGGTTGATCAGGGGCAACCTGAGGCTGGAGACCAAGACGATACCAAGGTCAAGAAGAAGAAAAAGAAGAGGAGGACGGTAGTCATAGATGATGGCGGAGATGCGCCTGCCGAGTAGTAGAGTATTGTCAAAAATAACGCTTGTGAAAAGGCGGCTTTTTTACTTGTTGACTAAACAAAGCCTTGAAATGCTACTTGGTATCTCGAGTGTACCATGCATGTCTCTCTGTATCAAATAAACGCCATGTCACCCTAGATAATTGTACGAAAGAATATGCCAATTGGCCTCACCCTCCCACCTTCTTAATCTTCTTCACATCTCCCTTACTACCAGATATGTACGTTCCAGTGTCTCCTTCACAATCGGACTCGCGTCTCATCGATATATCGAAATTCGTATGCGCGCGTTCGCCCACCCCGTATCCAGTCTTTTCTTTCTTTAAAAGAATAGTCGAAGAACCTCGAACAACAAACCGCCACAGAGTATGAATGCCAGTACAACTGTAAATATACACATGCGTTAGCCACAATGCTCTCTACTCTTCGCTCATTCTGCTCTGCTCTGCTCTGCGCGCGCGCGCCTCGAAAAGATAATAGAAAGGCAGGGTATTTCAAAAACGTACCAATCCAAGGCTTGCTAATGGGTGACTTCTGTGGCCCTTGCTTCTTGACGACTGGCACGTTTGATTCAGGTTTGCCCATCTTCTTCTCCTGCGCTTTGGCAAACCGCATGTTTGCTTGTCGTTGCTGCGGTGTTTGCGCCTACGGTAGTTCGCTTCTATTAGCCATATTCCTCCATATCATCTGACTTGTGTGTGCGAAAAGAAAGAGAGGGATGGAGAATTGGGGAGTCTCGAGGAAGTTTGGATTCGGGGGACTGGGCAAAGGGCAGGGGGGAGACGAGTGCATACCATTGTGATTGCTGTTGAGGTTGTTCGAGGGGTGAGTCCGGTGTGATGCTTGAAGAAGAGACACAGGGAAAGTGTGGCGAAGCAGAGAGAGTGGGAGAGAGAAGGAGGAGTGAGCGAGGATGTGGGCGGCAATTCCAGGGTCCAAGAGGGTGTTGGGTTGTGCAAGGTGTTCGGTTTGGAATGAGACCCATGCACGGACCGCGTTCCCGCCGCTGGCGCTAGGACGTGACAGGGTTGCGGCGTCGTGGTTCGCGTGTTGCGGAGATGGAGTGCGGAGGTTTACTCTTTGTGATTTTTGTTCAAGCACGGCACGAGAGCTTACAACCCACTTCTACATCGAATCGCCGTAGGGCAATAGTACGCATCATATTATCGCTATACACTGCATCTTGGCAATACATTCTTGATTTCTTTGTTCCCTGCATCTCTCTTGCCAGTTTCCTAGGTCCAATCCACTTCTTTTGCAGAGCGTGCGAAGCGGGGAATCTCAACACAAGACACCAGCAGCGCAATGAACAATGCTCGAGTAACACGGTCGCTATGGAGACGAGCAGCGACACACAAAAAACGAACAGGACGAATTTCGCGAAGAAACCTCGCAACGGAGACACAACCTTCCCTGCCACCGCCGCCACGCAAAGAGCCATCGCGAGTAGTACGTCATAACCCTCGCCTTCAGCAAGTTGGCCCAAAAGAAGCCCACCAACATCACCACCTCTTGCTCCTCCGCTCAATCTCGTGTACTAACAAAGCGCAAATAGGGCGCATACTATGGCACCTTCGGTTCCCCGATTCTCAAATGCTTCCTCGGCGCCCTCTTCACATACCAACTCGCCTACTACATCTGGTACAAGCTCGAAACCATCGAAGAACGGCACGAAACACGCTTGGAAATTGCTGAGTTGCAGCAAGAACTAAAGCAAGCTCTTGAGAAGCAGAGCCAGGAGGTACAGGAAAAGTGGGATAGGGCAGCGGAGATGTTGCAGAGGGAGAAGCACGAGTTGGGCGAAGCGGTGGACGCCGTGGTTGAGGAGGTGAAGGAGGGGGCAGATGAGGTAGGGAGGGGGACCAGGGCGGTGGGAAAAGTTGCAGGTGGAGGGTGGTGGCCTTGGTGATGGGGTGATGTAGGTGTGTGGAGAGGTGCATGGATGTGTAGTATTATTAGGATGCGTGGGTGATACCCTGCCTTCTCTTCAACAATAACCTTGGTTGTGTTGTACATGGATGTATCATCGAACCTCTTGTCAACTTTCGTTTCCCTCGAGCTCCATTCATGTCGACACTCTCTTGAACAGCCTGTTCTCGCTTCCATTTCAGTCTTCTTCTCTTTCTTCTTTCTTGCGTCGTCCTCTTTCATGGAAACGTTGTCTCTGCTGCTTCTATCTTTCTCGTAGCTTTGCTGATTTGAGTGCATGCAGCTACTTCCGCGTGCTCAAAAAAGGTAGTAGCTTTGTGTACTCTCAGGTGCTTACCGACAAGATAGGGTTTCTGCATGCCGCTGCTTAACGCTTTTAAAATCCAGGACAAGTGTGTCGCTCTGGACATGGTACACAACGGTGTCGGCGATCCAGTATCAGGATGTTTTCGTATCTTCCCAGGCATGAAAAGCTTCAGCCGAAGAATTCGCCAGATACTAGTGACTCCCATGGCTTTCCGGTATCCCACACACGCTTCATGAGTGTGCTCATTTTTGGCACCTACCCACCAATATCAGTATGACCAAACCCAAAATGTATCCGGGAACTGCTCACCTGATTAAGTCCAAAACCCTCCACTCCTCTGAGACGATCCAGGATTTTCTCTCTCTGTCCTACATCCTGTGCATCGCAGCCCGCAGCAAACATGGGGAATAGCGAACAAGCTTCTGCCGAACTGCCCCTCCTGATCTTGAACAATAACTCTACAATCGCCCGAACCGCATGTTGCACCTCTGGATCCAATGCGGATTTCCCCAGTACACGACGATGCAATTGGATCAGACCAGCCCAATGGAAAAGCTTGTTCGTCGCATAAATCTCCGTCGTATCCCACGCTCGTTCAGACTCGGAAGAGGCGTCCGAGCCATGGCGACACGCTTTCCGGATATTCCGATCTGACAGTCCATCTTCCAGTGTGCGTCGAATGTTGATCGCTTCCTCTACGACATCCTGGCTCGGCACCCAATCTTCGCGGACATCGCCGTGTTCATCAATACGATGCGGTTCGCAGCGTTTGGAAAGCTCGGAAATACGCGCCAGACTGCCAACGCAACGGGTTGTGAAACCCATCAGGCAGTCGATCTCAAGGTCCTCGTCTGCAGATTCGTTTTCGCTCGACCAGTAGAAAGATCCCAGTGGCATGTCGTTCTTGTGTCCGCTCAGCGAACCTACGACATCGAGATAGGCGAACCAACGCGAGAGAAAGTAGGCTACGAGATCTTTTCGGCTCATGCCCCTGGGTCCACCGCGCTGGGTAATCATCTGGCGCGCCATAGTGAGGTGATCCTTCCAGGATATAGGTACTTCAAATGTACCCGGGGAGATGATTTCCAAGCTCGCCATCATGATGACTGATGCCAGAGTATTGTCAGGAACTTCATTTGGGTTCTCTTGAAGCGTCTGTCGCAGTCTGGGAAATACGTCTTGTACCCAGACTGCGATGCGATTTGAAGGCTCTGGATGATTGAGCATGCGCGCCCGATGCGAAGCACTGTAAGCGAGAAGAAGACTCAAAAGGTTTTCATCCTTGACGGCCACTGAGAAATATCAGCAGGTTTGTTCATCATGTCCGTGGATACTCACTTTGGGGTAGTATATGTCGGAATGGATTCCTTTCGCAATCGTGTGGGACCAAAACCCTAGCTGTGTGATTGAGGAAATGGTGAAAGTAGATTAGGTTCATTTGATTCTCCATAAGGAGAGCCGGCAGGGGTTCCAGCGACTTGGAGATCCTAATGGGTACGGGTTTCGCGTAGTATCCTCCCTTTTCAAATGCCATGACTTTACTTTCAGATTCCGCGCTGCCGTACAAAGTTTCTCCGTCGAAACTGACTGTGTTGGTTTGTGGGCTGTATATGGCAATGGCCGATGAGTCGTTATTCCTTGGGGTGTCCAGGTCTGGGAGACCCAGGTCGTAGCCGTATGTTGTCGAGGCTGAATCAGCAATTGGATACTGTGTTCCACTTCCACCCTGACCAGTGTTTTGCAAATCCTGAATGAGGGATTGCACAGATACACGACACGGGTTTGGAGGTGAGAGAGCAGGGTCTTGTGATGCAGATGCTGCGGGTGCAATGACTCCTTCAGAACCGACTGATGCTGGTGTTTGAGGAAAGTTACGATAAGGGCTATGCGGAGTTGGCGAATATGAGTCTGAGTATGTTGGTCCAGGTGATCCGCTAAAGGCCCTATATTTCTGGTGTCTGAACATGGTATCTGCAGCCATTTGCTGAGGCGGTGTAGTAGTATTTGTGGGGGTGAGGACCGAAGCATTAGTATTGAATGTGCCGAAACTAGGCGTTGTAGATGATTGACCATCGAAAGTGTTCTGAAAATGTGACTGTGTGTATGGAGTTGATGAGGATATATCGCTCTGGAAAAAAGAGCTGCCTTCAGTCGAACCTGCACTGGTGACACTAGGGGGCATGACCTGCATCGTGATTGGGTCAATGTCCTAGGTAGTTATTCGAGGGGCGATGATCGAAGGGGACCTTACATGCTGCAACTGCATTGGTGATTCAGATGTTGACATGAACATTCGGGAAGTGTCTTCGACTTGAAAGCATGCTTCATATGGATTGCCTTCCGTGGCACTCGACGCGTCCAAACAGGTGTCAATTTTGTCCCTTCTTGCACGACCTCCCCAGGTGAGTCGAATGCTGTAGTCGCATACTTCACCTTGCCTTTCACAATTCGTACACGCTGGCTTTTCTTCTCCGCTGAGGCAAGGTTACTTGCTGTCGCTTTCTGGTAGATAGTGTTTCGACAGCTACTTACCATTTTACTTTTCGAGCCTTGCATGGCCTAGGCATGATTAGTGTGGATGCGCGCGTACTTGGGGGGGGGGGGTTCATGGGATTACCAGCAGCCGTTTCGGGATCTCCTTTTCGGCTCGACGCCTGGTTTCTTCGGGCGAGGCATTGTGTCTGTGGATCAATTTGCTGGACGTGGGTTGGACAGAGAAGGCAAAGACACTACAAGTGACGTCTGTATGTAGTAGAATGCTAGGTGTTTGTTATGCGCGTGACACAAAAAAGGGCTAGTATAGATGGCTGTCTCTACAGTCCAAGGCGCTGGTCGAATAGTGGCGAGCGTTGAACGCACCAAGCTTCCGAATTCGGCATGCGACCGCTAGGCTGGCTGCACAAATCGTGTGACTTCGGCGACTAAGTAGGGCTGATCATTACATGGCTAACGCCGTGAAATCATGTTCCCGTCCAACTGCTCGTTTTGTGCGACATTACCACGGTATGCACTGCACATTCGTCGCGACGATGGACAAAAGATTGGAGATGAGGAACGATAAGGTTCCCCCCCACACTTCGCGCCACGCGCCAATCACAACGTCCGAAGTTCCATCTATCGGGTGCGGCGGGTCTGACACCGCCTCTCGTCGCATCCGGTGGAGCATGCAGGGTGTACCTAGACGACATGTGATAACCGGAAACTCTATTCTCGCGCTTATGCGGACCAAGAAACAGTATGTCAGGTACATATCGCTTTCTCCACTACTACTGCCACACCATTATCTCTTCCACAGAGTAATCTTCATTATGTAGGACATGGGAGAATGTCAAATCACGAGTCACGGAAACTAGTTACATGCATAATTGAAAACGCATTCATTCATGAACCATGCTAGATACAGTCCTACTACTGCCAGTCTGGACGAGTGTTTGCGCTAAAAGACATTACTTACTACAGTACCATAATCTGACACTCCATAGTACCTGGCTACACTAGACCCTGACTAGCAGACACCATCTCCATGTCGCAAAAGAACGTAAAAGTTATGATTCGTTACTGAAAAACCGTGTGTCGATGATCAATCTACGTGTAGTACGTGTTCGCAGGAATCCGAAACATGCCGCTTCGCCTACTCGATGTTGATCTTGCGAGGCTGGGGTGCCTGAGCCTTGGGGACGACAATGCTCAGGATGCCGTTCTTGAGGCTGGCCTTGACATTATCCTGGTCGACACGGGCTGGGAAGGCGAAAGAGCGGTGGAACTCGCCAACAGAGCGCTCGCTGACCCAGTACTTGGCTTGCGTGTCGTCGTGCTTGGTGACTCCCTTCTCCTGCGACTGCTTTGCAACCTTGTTGTTGGACTCGGATGTATCGTCCTCGACCTTGGGCTGGTGGCCGAGCTTCTTCTGGTCCGACTTGTCGCCGCTCTCGATGAAGCCCTGTGGGCGCTGACCTTCCTCGCGGACGTGCTCGTGACGGCCAGAAATGGTTAGCGTGTTGTTGTCGGTCCACTCGATGTTGACATCTTTTTGCTCAACACCGGGAAGCTCGCCGTGAAGTTCGTAGGCGTCCTTGGTCTCCTTGACATCGAACTTGGGAGTGAAGGACCGCACGCTCTCGAATTGGCGGTCGATGTTGCGGAAAGCCTGGCGGTCGTATTCGTCAAAGAGACGGAACATGGGAGCAAACTCCTGAGTAAACCTTGGGAAGAGAGACATGGTTGCTGGAGTGTTTGAGAAGTGTCGAACGGTTGAAGGCTTTGAGATGCGGTTGAGTTGTCGTGGAATTCGTGAGATTATTGAGCGCAGTGATTGCATACGAGAGATGTTGTGACTTGTTTCTGATGTCGAACTATGGGGGCGGATTCATGGGCCCTTTATACCTGAAGGATGGCTTCGTCGAAGTATCGAGACTGCCCCAGCGCAAGGTTGCGAGAAGCATCGGGCATGGTTCAGGGCGTTTCTAGTGGTTTCGAGCATCGTGTTTGCCGTCATGAAGACGTAACCCCATCACACCACCTGGGCATATGTGGCAGGCAGGATATCTTGGGGAGAGAGGAAAGACTGTGTGTTGCGTGCCTCACCAACCCCGCCCGCAGAAGGGACGCGCACCCGCTCGAAACTTCCAACATCAGCCCATGTCACGTGATCGAACCACGCCAACACTCGGGCGGGGGTGAGCCAGCATTGCTGCATTTCAGGCCAAACGCCATATCACCAGATTCCCAAAGGAGCATATACTAGTACGTGAGTAGTAGTAGCATGCCGTCATCGTTCTGTGTGATGCTCCATTGTCCCCACGCTTGGTGCGTTGCTGCTCTTGTTGCTGCGGGAGCGCACATCTTCCTCGACCAGACATCCCGGAATCAATACATGTAGCTGCTACTGCTACTGCTACCTGTGGATATCCCGGATACCCGGCTCTGACCACGACTCCAGTTGATTCCTTCCGCGGCGCAGTAAATACTCAATGGTGCCAAAATCTTTCTTGCCAACATCCCGGTGTTTGTGGAACTGTGATCTGCACGCACTCGACATCAGTCGCCAATTGATACTGCATTTGACACATAAGTCCGCACCTTATAAAGTCACGAAAGTTGGCTTGCGTTTCCTATGTCTGCGTTAGGAGGGTGCATGTGTAGTATGTGCAAAACGCAGCCGACATACAGTTGGTTTTTGTCTCACGGCTCGCAGGCACTGCCGGTAGAATGACAGCACATCTTTCTGAAGTCCAGATAATCTCGCCATGATTTCGCAAGCTGACGTTTGTGTTACAGTGAGATTGTTGTTGGCTGTGAACCACCAACGTTTGGAAGAACTGTGGCGAATAACGCCCTAATCCCGAAACAGTTAGTGCGATGGATGCGATCTTGGGCTTGAGACTGATATCCATGATGTAAGGCATCGCTATTGTGAATGCCTGCAACCCCAACACCTCGAACCAAGACACACTGCTGAACGCATGGCATATGAATAAAGCTCTATCGATCCAATTGTTGTGCATTACTATTCCTCAAAACATGTAGTTGATTCGAACTTGTACTAAGAAATAAAGACTGGCTCCTCTAACACCAAACGCCATGACGGGGCAAGACGATCGGTGCCTCCAACTGCGTGCTGAAAGAGTATTTCTCCCAAACGAACATTACCAAAATACTAGACTAGGCGCCATCGAACGCACTCAGCTTAACCTTGATGTCGTGTGGCCATACAAACCATTGTTTGTGCAAATCCCACTCTTTACTAGGATCCTCAAGAACAATCTGATCCATCATTAGCACAAATTTTGTGTATAAATTTGGCAGTGCCAGTCGTAAAGCGACGTACCTGGTATTTTCCAAATAGAGTTGCAACGACTTTGTACACCTCTACAAGAGCGAGCGCCCTACCAATGCAGACACGGTTGCCACCGCCAAATGTCATGTCTGCATCTTTCATTTTTCGGATCCTAGCCTCGTAGCTGGCCATGTCTTCCTTCTCGCCACACAGCCAGCGCTCTGGACGGAACTCGTACGGCTTCTCTCCATATACATCTTCTTTGTAGTGGATGACCCATGGATTCACGCCAACAATTGTGCCCGGCGGCAGGACGGTTCCATCGGCCAATGTGAGACCGGCAGAAGGTACAACTCGCTCAAAGAGTTGGCCGACAACGGGGTGCATGCGGAGACCTTCCTTAATGCAGGCATCAAGATAGGGAAGCTGCTCGATGCTGCTATAGGGGGTTGGGTAAGGTAGTCGTGCAGAGTGAATTTCTTGTACCAGACGTGTCTTGCAGGCAGGAGTCTTGAGAAGATGATAGATTACGCCTTTCATGACGATTGCGAGTGTGTCGGCTCCACCAAGCACCTGCGCAGAAGGATTGTTAGCATCGATGGCTTGATCCAAGCGGGAGCTTGGCGTCTGGGAGCACTCTCACTGCATCTTGGCGGGGAACATGGGACTCACATTGATAATCATATATCCGATGACTTCGTTATCGGTAACAAGCTCGGGATACTCCTTTTTTGCTTCGAGAAAGCCATTGAGCATGTCGTTCCTGCCTTGGCCAAGCTCAGGGTTTTGCACGCGCTCCATGAAACGCTCAACAGAGAAGCCCGCGGCGACGGAAAAGTCATCGAACTTGTACAGCGAACGAGGCCAGTGTGGGTTTTTTCCAAGCCATTTGTCTAGAGCGGGGATTTGGCCGACCTGCATGGGATCAGCATTTGCTCGAATATCATTTCGTAACTGGGAGTCTAGGGATTTACGTACCACGGAGAAATAACGCATCACACGCTCAGCAGTACCTATGCTTGAGGTTGACACGTCGAGTCAGCATACATGTCACATATACCTCGGCTTGTAAAGCTACTCACATATCCCCAATGTCTTTGCCTTGGTCCATGAAGCCTATTCGCTTGCTCCAGGTCATGTCGCCGAGGAAGTCCCAGGCGAAGAATGAGATCCAATCGGCAATGTCACAGGTCTTGCCTTTGTTGGCGCCTTCAGTGAAGCGGGATTCGATGCGAGCGCACAAGACACGGAGATTTTCATCCATGATGCTTTCGAGCTGAAGCGCATTCTGAAGACTGTACAACTTCTGCACGGGTTTGACCGTCTTAGCGTGGAACTCATTGCTGCGTGTGCTGAAGATGTTTTGGATAATATGGCCATCCTGAAGGGCATCATTGATGGTCCGGAGTACAGTTAGTACACTATTGTCGTTGTCATGTCATGCACATGATTGAGCCTGTCTTACATAATAATCACTCTTTTGGAAAAGTCAGCTGTTGCACAAGTCCCATGTTTGCAGGGTTTTGTGAGCTTACCTTCAAAAAGGTTCCACGTGTGTTGTAGATCGTCTTGATCAGATTGGCATCTGCGATGCTGACCGTATTGGGACCTAGTCGGACGACGTCACCATGCTGGTCGTGGAGCTTCCTCTGCGTCTCAATGTGGGTCTGGCCGTAATGGTTGAAGAAGCGCCAGATGTTGGAGAACTTGGCTAGGAACGGCCCGGGGATCTTCTTGAGTGGGGATTGAAGGTAGGCAAGAACGTATTGGGTAATGAGATACACAGTGCCCAGGCCAATTGCCTTGACAAGTAGCCCCGCTAATCCCATTGTTGTGTACTGTACACGCTGTGGCTATGTGTCCTGCAGTGTGATCGGAAGCGTGGTAAGGGATGAAACAGAGTTGCAAGGGCAGCTGAGAGATTGGGATCAAGATGCTCTACATAAGAATGGACACCACTCTCTGCTAACCATGCACATGTTATACCTCGGGCGAGCTAGGTGAGCCCGTGGGGCTAGCTAGCATCCCGTCTCTTCGCATGGCTGCATGGCTGCATGGCTGCATGGCATCCTTCCTACTACAAAGGGCCGTATACTGCTGTGAGGCGGAAATGTCGCCACGCTTGTTTGAGAGGATGCACTACTTTGGCATGGGACCCCACCGTTCCAATGTGCATTTAGTATTGGCATGCCAGGGTATACCAACTTATGTCAGGTAGGCCGGTGCTCTCGGACGACACCCTAAGCGTTGCGGGACAGGGGGCGGCAGTCTCTCGGTCAGGATCCCGTGATTAGCAGTGGATCTGACCAACGTCGCCAAGTCTGTTCCCAGCAGGCCAGATGGCATATCCTCTGCCACACTGTCGGAACAAGAAAAGGGTAGCTGTAATTTTCGCAGTATTGAGCGACACGGGAGCGCGACTCCACCGGACGACGCCTTCGCGTATGGCTGGGGCCAAAAGCCACAAAAAACAAATTAAGCCTGACCTGACTTGGCCTCCCCACCTGCATCCGCCCAAATGGAGACGCGGGCCCCCAGTCGATGAAGCGCGTACAACGGCCCGAGGCGGGAGCTTCGCCTGTCGTACTAACCCACAACTCGTAAGCAGGTTTCGACCCAAATCCACATGCTCCCACCCCTCACCACCTCCCCCTCCTCCATCTCTCTTGACAGGCCAATAGCGACAGGCCCGCGGAATCAGCGACATGTGAAGCTATGCACTCGTGGCTCTTGTCTACTCCGCCATCTATTACCACGCTCGCTTAGTACATATCGATTACCGAGTCTCAGAGATTATGATTCACATACATATGACAGGAGGCGTATGCTTATCCTTGCCTTCACCTGTGGATGCTATCTTTTCCATCACCGCAGTGGCACTAGGGTATACATAAGTAGTCAAAGATCTGCCGTATGGAGCCTCGGATCCTCTTCGCCCGAATATTCTTTTTCTTCCAACCCGCCCCCTCGACACGGATCATATACAGAGCTGGTGGCGACGCCGGCGTAGTCTACCCAATTAATCGCCGTTCATAGCAGTTGTGTGTATGGAGCAAGGTGCTGTTTCAAGCTTCGCGTTAAGCGGAAAGAAGATTGGCAACAGCTTTGGGAAACGGTGCAGGTAATGCAGATGGGGTTGCTAGCGCATCGCTTGTTCAGGGCACTTCACCGTCCACGCGTACGGGCTACACAAAGACGGCATGGCTAGCTGCCGCCAAGGCTTCCATGAAAAATGAGATTGGACGCAGCGTCCGGGGAAGCAAGACGGACATCCGGCGCTAGGTTTGACCCAAGCTGCAGGTGTCCGTCTCTTACATGGCCGCGGCCAAAGGGTTGGCCAGAAGCCCAAAGGGTTGATCTCTTCCATGTCAAGCCACCCTTGGATTAAGTAACCGATTCCGTCTTTGAATCTTTGTGCAGCAGGATCCGAGCCACATCGTCATATGGTTTTCGACAGGGCTGCGAGAGGAATAGCGCAGCAAGAAAAGCACCATGTACGAGCCCCGAAAATAGCCCGGGGTCAGCTTCATTCGTCTCGCTTTGGAGGCTGCCACTTCTTCTGCCTGGGATCGGTGCTGGAGACGTAGCGATCAACCAGACCCCCGGGATTGTTTACAGATGCATTTTCTTCTTGCGAGTGGGCATCGTCCTGATTGAAAGGAGACATAGAAACAGCGACGCACTCCTGCTTTTTGCCCATCAAACGGACCGGTTTTCGAAAAGGCAGCCCACAGTCACAGGTTTTAAATTCTCTGTCTTGTCTCACTCATTTCTTGCACATAGCGCCATAGCTTCGAGGATAGCGCTTACTCAAGTTTCTCGTTTACTTCAAGACGGACACCCTTTCACCCATCACTGGAGTCACACGGCATTGTCTCACGCCAGCCGTGGGTCGTTAGACGAAGACGAACCAGCCCCATCTGCGGGCAGGACCACTGAGCCATTAGTGATCAAGATGGGCAAACCGGCAGACTTTGCAGACATACTCAATGGAGTCATGTGGTTTCAGGTCTTTCTCGCTACCCTCTTCATTGCACTGCGCCTCTACACCCGGCAGTGGATTGTACGAAACTTCGGATGGGACGATATATTGATGTTGGTCAACTTGGCAAGTCAATCTTTTCCCATGGTCCCACTGTCTATGAGGATCGCTTTCTGACCGTTATAGGCTACTTTTGTAGGTTATGTAGCCTGCATATCCATCGGGGTCAACTACGGAGTTGGGAAAAGGACGGCTGACATTATCCGTCTCGACCTTGACTACTCCAAAGCCATCATGTGGGAAGCGATAGGCCAGGGAATATGCATCATGGGAATCGCTGCCTCCAAAGGTTCAGTGGCGCTCTTTCTCTTACGCATCGTTGTCAAGCAGTGGCATGTCGGCATCCTCTGGTTTTGCATAGCAAGCACTACCATATTGTGCGTCATTACAACGGCGCTCCTGTACGCCCAGTGTATACCCACAGCGTTTCTGTGGGACCGTACAATTGAAGGTGGCCACTGTTGGCTCAACTTCACTCCGGTCGGTCTGACCATGGGTGCTTGGTCCGCCTCCATGGACTTTGTTCTTGCCATCCTTCGTAAGTCAACAACTAGAGTACGACACTAGTTCGAACACTTCTGACTCATCCTAGCCTGGCACGTTCTCATGGGCCTCAACATGAAGCACAAGGAGAAGATTACCATCGCATCCGGTCTTTCACTTGGCATCTTCGCTGGTGCATGTTCTATTGTTCGCACCATTGAGCTGCAATCGCTTGCGTCTATGGAGAATTACGTGTACGATACTGCTAGCATGCTTCTTTGGTCTTCTTCAGAAGTCTGCATGACCATTGTCTGCGCATGTATTCCCGTCCTCCGCCCTTTATATGTACGTGTCAAGTATGGCTCGCGCGGCGATTCGTCAAATAAGGACTCGTATCACCTCAAGGAATACTCAAAGTCGAAAAGCAGCCGTGGAGATGGGAGTCAGCCTAGAAACAAGATATACATGGGCCCTGGAGAGAGTGTGTTGCAGACGACTGTCCGTATGGGCAGCGATGCTGCAAGTGAAGAGACTATTCTGAGAGATTGCAACGAATCGAGATACAATGGGAGTGCATGGGACCAGCTTTCAAGGACAAAAGAACCGAAAGACATCCATGTCAGCACGACGGTTACTTCAAGAGACCATTATGTTTGAGCAGAGAGACTGGCACGAATGCAACGGTATATGATCACTAGATTCTACATACTCCAATAAACTTTGCATCACGCTCGTCGCATACGTGTCATGAGATTGTATTTTTTTTTTGAAAAAATGATTCTAACACCCAAACTGTGTGCCGGTTCCGAAAGACCTACCGCATACTTACTCAATCCCAGTCCAGCAGTCTGCATATTGCAGACAAGTCCCTGCACAGGATGTGGAGCATAAGGTCTTGATCGGTGTGCGATGTGTATGGTGTTGCCGAAATGAAGCCGTCAGCGCGAATGCTATGCCTCACGCAATCCTTTCGGCGAACTGTTCCACCCCAGCAAACTGTTGGGCCCACATAAACGGCAAGATATCGAAGAGGGTATTGCCCCGTAGATAAGGTATTTATTGCGCGCGTAAGATGTCCTTTTTCCACGTTTGCGTTTATAAACATTGCTTTCTCCGTCTATTCACTGCAGGAAAGAAAAGCAATTTCCATGCCATTTGACTTTCCCATCATGGTGTGGTCAAATGAGGTGGAATGGTATACTTTCCTTTTTCATTAAGACTTAAGTCGGTGCCGTGTGGTAGGAGACGGCGTTTCAACAATGGTCCACGGACCCGCATTTCGCACCCGAGGAGGGGTCCCCCGCAAACATCGGTAACTGTCTAGCACACAACACTCAGGCCCCGACAATGGAAGGCCACCTGGCTATTTCTTTTGCCCACACTATGAGCGAAGGGCAATTCACAACGGCGATCGAAAAAGAAGGTCTCAAGCCTGTACGCCTGCTTCTCTTGAGGACGATCGATATCAAACGAGCAGCAGCTTCCGACCCAGGGAGAAAATAAGGAAATCAGCAAAAAGTGGAAATTTCAAAGAGATACCAGTGGATTGAGGATCTGGACTCAGCACTGCTACACGATTTCCACGCAAAAAAAGCAACTCATAAGGGTTGCTTAGTTGTCTGCAAGACTTCACACAGAAAAGAAATAGGGATGAGACAATTAGCGGACTCTAACACACGCTGTCTCTTCTTCCACAGCTCAAGAAACGACAAAGATTAACATGCCTACCACTTTACACCTATCTGCCAAGTTGGGTAGCCCGGCCAAACTTGGTACGCACATTGAGGTAAGTCGCAGCTATATACATTTCGCTCCTTTCCCATTCAGCCTTCCAAGCTTGATATCGTAATATGGCCATGAGTATGGGGGCACAGACTCCTTCTTTCCCCTGCAGATTCCTTCACGTGTTGTACACATGGAGCGGTTGGATGGTGTGGGGCTAGTCACTAAAGGCATGTGGATTTCATGCTCGGGAGTCGGACTCTGTTCCTCGTGTACGTCGGGATCGATAGTGGTCGACAGAGATGGTGGTCGCTTTTCTGTGGAGCTGTCAGCAAGGCTTGAGCCTGACTGCTACTCAGGTAATATGCCGAGGCGCTACTGTACAGCCTAATTCGTCACCCTCGAAAGTTCTTTCGGCAGACTTACTGTTACCCAACAGCTGCCGTTGAGTCTCTATCATCTCGAATAGCGGAAGGTACGGACCCCATTTAGGAGCAAATCTGGTTTCTGCAATCGCCTCTTTTGGGACACGGCTATCTGAGTTGGGTTGGTCGTAAACGGAGTCCCCGCGAATTTCCGGTTCTGTCCGTGCTCACCCAATGCAACAGTCAGCCAATGCAACACTATCTGCCCCACCCAAAATATCAACCCACCATTTTCAACACGTGATATCTCCACTACTATAATAGCTCTTATAAAAGCGATTATAGTAATTAATTTATAAGGTCTAGAAGGGTAATTTTTATACTATATAGCTATAAAAAGCTTAGTATTAAGGTTTTAATATTAACGCGCTAGTACTAGACTGGTAAATGGGTAGCGACCCACTTTTCTTTAAAAATTGATAATTAATTCCACTCTAGTCTAAATCAGGTAAAAAATGGCTTATTTTAAAGCACTAACTAAGCGCTTTCTATTAT